AACTCACACAGGAGAGAAACCATTTAGCTGTTCTGAGTGTGGGAAAACATATGGTCGAAGTGCACATCTGAAGGTACACATGAGAACTCATACAGGAGAGAAACCATTTAGGTGTTCTGAGTGTGGGAAAACATATGGTCGAAATGAACATCTGAAGGTACACATGAGAACTCATACAGGAGAGAAACCATTTAGCTGTTCTGTGTGTGGGAAAAGATGTGGTCAAAGTGAAAATCTGAAGGTACACATGAGAACTCATACAGGAGAGAAACCATTTAGCTGCTCCGAGTGTGGAAAAAGATTTGGTTCCAGTGGAGCTCTGAAGACACACATGAGAACTCATACAGGAGAGAAACCATTTTGCTGTTCTGAGTGTGGGAAAACATATGGTCAAAGTGCACATCTGAAGGAACACATGAGATCTCATACAGGAGAGAAACCATTTAGCTGCTCCGATTGTGGGAAAAGATTTGGTTACAGTGGAGTTTGGAAGAGACACATGAGATCTCATACAGGACAGAAACCATTTAACTGCTCTGAGTGTGGGAAATCATTTACACAAAATGGATATTTACATACACACATGAAAGTTCATGAGGGAAAAAAGTGATGCAGCTGTTCAGTCTGACAAAAAAAAAATCTCTTTGGAATAATATTTTAAAAAGACAAATGACTGACACAGACCCAAACATTTATGTTTTATATGTTTTTAAATGTATGTATTTACTTACTTACTTACTTACCAAGATCAGTCTTGTACAGCCAGGGGGAGTATTTCCCCTCTGACAGCCAAGCTGGGTCAGAACCTGTTATCCGGTGGTGACTGGACTTTTGCTGCTTTTCAGGGCCAGGGCATTCAGCACTGTGGCTCTTTCCTGTACTTGGATCCAGAGCAGGAGAGGTACTCTGACTGCTAAATTCTAAAATTGATGTGAACATAGATTAGAAGATAGAAGAATCTGCACAAAATAGCCCATATGAGTAAGTCAAAACATTTTTTCAGACATTTTTGTAAATTTATTTTAAAAAAAAATGTAAACATCGCTGAGCGATCTTCATGACTCAGCCTTCATTTGGAATTGTGTGTTATCAGCTTTACTCTCCCAGTTTGGAGAAGCAGACAA